TGATCTCTAAGTGGGAGGCGTCAGAACTGAGCTGAGTCTTAGAGCACCCCGCGGGTGTCCGAGAATCGCTTGTGGGCGTGGGGGGAACCCCTCTCCCACACACGCAGTGGGATCAGGCGTGGGAGGCTGCTACCTTTGCACAGCTCGTCCATGTTTTCCATTCGCTGTGAGCCTTAGCTGTCACCGCGGGGACCGAAGGGCAGGCACAGCGCGCGGCAGTAAGCATCCGAGCGAGGAGAGGCAGGTCCTGGCACGCGTGGGTGGCTCTGGGGCCTTTGCCTTCCCTTCCCCGCCTTCCCCATCACTGCAGGTCTCTAACTCCGCTAGCTTTCCCTTTGGCAGGGGGGCGCCTTGTGAGATACGTTGCTTGGTTCTGCCCCAGTCAGGCGAGAGCCGAGGGGCGCAGGGTCTGTGGCGTCTCAGGGGAAGCAAGCCTATGGCCTGGACGGATCTCTGAGCGGGTTATGGATATCAGCATCGTAGGGTCTCCGGAGACACTGGCCGGTAAAAGCGTTAGAGCAGCCGTGAGTCATAATGCAGAACTCAGCCCCCAAACCTGGGACAGCCCGCCAATTCCCTTCTCTCTGTCCTGCTGCATAAAATCTTAAAGGTTTGAGTTTCAGTTAAGATAGTTTCTGATCCCAGTTTCTACTTGATGATTTTCTCCTGTTACCCTCATCTTGTGTTGTTGCTGGAAAAATTTGTGGGTGATATTCCTGTGTACCCTCTTCCAAGGCAGCCCCTTCCCTTTCCAGGAATTCCCTGGGATTGGGGTCTGCCTCTGGTTACAGCCCCTCAACTTCTGGCACATTCATGCCAGACGCGGGGCAGTGGGTTCGCCGAGGCACTGGGCAACACCCAGGAACCTTCCACAGAGGATTTCCCTTTGCCAGGGGACTGATGCACCCCTCAGGGTGTTTAGGAAATGCTGGTTGCTCACGTTTGGGATGATGGGGTTTTGGAATGTAGGTGAGGTCTGGAGCCGAAGGCCGAGAAGGAATTCTTGAAACCTCTCTCTGTGAGCAGCTGGTTTGGGAGGTGCGGCTGATGAGGTACTTGGGAGTCGGGGGAGGTAAGGAAAAGGGAGGGTTTCTAAAGGATTTTTGTATGTTAAAGAAGACTCTTGGGATACCCTAGGTCTTGCCATTGTCAGGTTAAGGTGGTTTTTCTTCCGGTAAGGCATTAACAGTGAGACAGTCGGGAGCTTCCTGGAGGAACACGACACTCCGCCCGCTTCGGGTGGCTGTCAACGGGCTGCAGGTTCTGAGAACATTTAGTTGTGTTTACATTTCCTTCTGGAAGCTCAGTTATTGGTAGAAATGCTTTGTTCTTGTCATTTGCTACGGCTTTTGTTAAACTGAGGGAGACTCCTGTCTTGTGGGGGTTGTGGGGCGTCCGCTTCGGCCTGTCCTCAGCCTTCTGCTCCCTCATCGGGGGCATTTATATTTGTCCCTTTTTTAAGTGACATCCCGCCAGGGACTGAACGAACCCACGATACCCCGTGGGGCCCGGGGACTCGGAATGACACGGGGGCGGGGGCAGGTGACTCCTCAGTGAGCGAACGCGCAGAGAGCAGACCGCAGTGCTGCCCAGAGCGCGGCCGGGAGCGGCACCGAGGGACCGGCCCGGCTGCTGCCGTCCACGCGGCCGCTGTTGCTAATACTTGTTACCGGCGTCTGAAGCGTCTGACCTCCTCGGGCCACGGGCAGCCATTAAGCACCCTCAGGTCATGTTTTCGCACCTGCCGTCCGCCACCCGTCCCTCCGGATGGCCTGTTCCATCAACGACCATTCGTCCCGGCAGGGACCCCTCAGCTGCCCTCCTTGCCCAGACCGGGCCCCCCTGTGCCCGCCCTTCAGCCTGTTCCCGCGCTCGGGCCGGAGCCACTCCCTGCCCCACCCCCAGCCCGACGCTTGCCGCTAACGGAGTCTGGCGCTATTTTTCAACATTACGGTGTCTGTTGTCCCGAGCAAAGTGATGAGGCCACAGTCCCACAGGCCTCCTGCTACCCTGAAACACATACTGCCCAGCACGAGCGTTCTTCCCACGTCTTGGTCTCTGCCACGTCACTTTGAAAGGGGGCAGCCCCGGCTCCGTCCTGGCCTCTCCCCACTTTGCTAAGAGGCATCACTACCCTTCTCGCACTTTCAGTAACGACTCCGGCACTTGCACGGACACCAGCCTCAGAGAACTCCCCGTCCCACATTCAGCCTCAACCCAGTGGAGGAAGCGCTCAGGTCTGGCCTGTCCCTGATCACCTGGACGGTTACTCTAAATGTTCTTTGGGGTGTGGAATTCCAGGGTTTTGGGGTAAGAACAGGTAATTCTCATGACTCTGGGTGGGCTGGGGGAAGAGGAATGGTTCAAACACCAGGAGACATTAGGAAGAGATCTGGGCAGGGGCGGGTTCCCCAGGTGGCTCAGTCCTTGAGCATCTGCCTTCCGCTGAGGTCATGACCCGAGTCCTGGGATCCTGGAATCCCGGCATTGGGCTCTTGCTCGGCGGGAAGCCTGCCTCTCCCTCTCCCACTCCCCCCTGCTTGTGTTGCCTTTCTTGCTGTGTCTCTGTCAAATAAATAAGTAAAATCTCAAAAAAAAAAAAAAAATCTAGGAAAGCAGGAATTTAAGTGAACTTGAGTTTGCAAGAAGACTTCTCACTGATTGCCACCAGTCGGTAATAGAGAAAGCATTTGGTTGCTATTTGAAATTTTGTTGAAAGCCACTGAAGGGGGGCCACGACGTGGCAGAACTTCGGCTCCTAGGGTTTCCTGTTAAGTGGCCGGTTTCTGTTTCTGGGCACCTACCCCAGGGCCCCTCCCAGTTAGCATCAAGTTCACTCTTTTTAAAAAGCAGATGATGCTCTTCCTTGAGGTTTCCTGTGGCTTCTGGTTTTTCTCACCGCGGCAGGCCCAGCCCATACCTGTGTCTCCGCCCTCCCGTAGCACGGCCCCTGGGGCCGGGTTTCCCTTCAGCTCTGGGGAAGCACAGCCAGTACTCTAGCACCTCCCAGACAGGAGCCCTCCGTCCCAGCAGGCTCTTGTTCCCACTGTGTCCCTGGTGGGCCACAGATGCCTGGTGCCTTGTTGGTGCTCAAAATGTCTTTTGGAGTGAATGCATGTCCTCACGTCCACCGTCAGTGTCCCCAGCTGTGGTCCGGGCTTCTCACGGGGGGTTATGCTCTCTTTCCTTTCCGGTAACTGAAGTCCTCGGTCCCCATCTCTGGATTCTTTCACGAGTCTCACTAGCCCCGAGAGGTGTGTTTTGGTTGGTTTGTTGTATTTTGGTTAACATTCTGACAGTCCTTATAAAACGGAGAAAGGTAGATTGTCCTTAATTCAAACCTATCACATACAATCCAGTGTGTACGTCTGAGCTGGAAGAGCAGCCTCTCGGGACAGAAGAGTCAGACTGAGGATGAGGTCACTAACACCTCCTGTGCTGAGATCTGGAGCACCGGAGCAGGGTCCCAGACCCGTTCTCCTGACTCGGGCTCGGCAGGATGAGCTGCGGGAGTTTTCGCCTTCAGAATCCCCGGAGTACAGACCTAGCCAAGGCAGAAGATGGAAGTGGAGAGCAGGTACCAAGAGTCCATTCTCCTCAGGCCGGCTGGATTTGATGGGACAATCCAGGTAAGGATCTGAGTCAAGAAACATTCTAGCCAAACGAGGCCCAGGCTCCTGACGTCCAGACCAGCTGTCTGGTTGGGAGAGGGGCTGTGTGTCATCGTGCAGCCACAGAGAACGAAGACAGAGTGGGGGGCGGGGGGGCCTGGAATGAAACCTCTAGCTGCGTTCCACAAAGTCTCCTCCCCCAACCCTGAGGACCCACGGCGTCTCACATTGCCACGTTTTTGCAAGCTGTGCCTCAGCCTCTCACCCCGCAGTTTCCTCCGACCTACAACCCCCCACCATCCCTAGACTTCAGAGTAGAGAGATGCCAATCAAATTTATCCATGCCAGCTTTATGCAACATGATCCCCAACTTTAAATTTATAAAGCATTAAACAATGGGGAGAAGTGTAAGTATCTAAGCATTTTAGTTATGAAAAGGTTATCTGTGGAAATAGAAGTGTCTTCCTTTGGCTCAGGTCATGATTCCAGGGCCCTGGGATCAAGTCCCACATTGGGTTCCCTGCTTGGTGAGTCTGCTTCTCCCTTTCCCTCTGCCTGCTGCTCCCCCTGCTGTGATCTGTCAAATAAAAAAAAATAAATCTTAAAAAAAAAATCAAATGGAGTCAAGACCGGTAATGGGGTCAAGTGCAGTGGACGTGGGTGTTGGGAGTCAGATAGGCAGAGGTCAGAATCTGGAGACCCCTCTGGGCTGGGTTTTGCTGTGCAAAGTGCATTGCCTCTTGGCCTACTGTCCCCAGCATCCTGCAAGACTGAAATGCGGCTCTATGCCCAGGCTGTAAGAACCTGTTTCAGGAGAAGTTTCATCTAAAACCACTTTGATTTATGAGGATTACAAGGGATTTTTTTTTCCCTGATCTGGATTTCTAGGACCTTGGGAGAAAACAGCCCACGAAAGGACAGTCAGCCCAATGGTTATCTTTGTATGTGTAAAGGTAGTATGTTTTCTCAAAGCATTTGCAACTTGCTGATTTGTGATAGTGACCTTGGCTTCCCTGAAATTTTTTCATGGGTTTTTCCTTTTCGGTTTTTTTTGTTTGTTTTTGTTTTTGTTTTTTTGTATTAAAGGTTTCCTTGTGTCAAATATGTGTTATCATGGTGAACACAGGCTCAAGCATACCCTACAGCTATGAAAGTTAGAGCTGTTTATAAAGTACGAGAACCTGCCTCATGTTGTGTTAACTAATGTTAATTACTTATGAATAATGATTTAATTGTGTTACAAGTGACTTATGGCATTTTAGTATAAATGAGCTAATTCAGGGACCAAGGAATGCATGAAACATTTTCCACTAGACTTAATGATATTTAGAATTTATTATCCAGGACCATAAAATCATACAAATACACACAAACACACGTATACTTAGCTCTTTATTTTAAAAATGTGTACACACACAAACGCTCTCTCCCCTTTACCTCTCCCCCCGCCCTCTCTTCTTTTCATCTGACCTGGAGGTATTTGCTCCTACACATTCTTTTCCATGGAATACCGTCCAGCCATGGTACATTTTTACTGCAGTTTATTCAATCATTCTCTTTCTGATGGTCATTCATTGTTTCCTTTTTTTGTCCTTATCAAAAAATACAATATACGTTGATAAACATATAATCTTAAGTACTGGCACTTTGTTGTCTTAGGGATAGAGTCCCAGGAGTGAGACTCCTGGACTGAAGGGTAGGTGTATTCTTAATGTTAAGAGTCACACCTGACACATTTCTAACAGCGGTGTATGAAATGAATCTCTTCCCCTGCTTCCTTGTTGGTAGTAGACAAGATGACAATTTAGAAAGAGATTTCCTGGACTATAGCTGTTCTGGTAAATCTGTTCAGAAAGTCTCTCCCACTCATACAGATTCACACACATCAGTGACATTCAGGAACAAGGAAGACACAAGGCCAGTTATAGTTGCCGGTGACAAATCTGGTGTGCGATTTATGACAGATCAGGAGAGAAACTTGGGAATCTGAAATCAATACTAAGATGGTTTGCCTCTGAGTTATGCGAAAAGCTTTTTAGGTTAATTGTTAAACATATGGAGAGATCACCGAAAAGTCTAACTTCTAAGGTGTTTGTGAACCTTTAAAGGCAAGGCTTAACTTCTACTTGACTTCCGAAGGGAGATGCTTTCGGTAGGTGACCATGAAACTCAGGGAGTGGAAATGCCTCCTTTAAACAGAATGTGGCAAGAATGCATTTCTAAAGTGTGTTGTGCACATGGACATTTTAAAAAGCAGTAACACATTTACTGACAGTTTCTTAAATTTTTTCTCTAAGGTCTCTAAAATGTAACATCTGCGAACCACATACACATCCTACTTTTTTGTAAGACAATTTGTAAAATATTAGGAGAAATAGGGAAACGCACAAATAAAAGTACACGTAGTTTCTGGGTTATACACTATGTTGAACGACATGCATCCGGAGTAAGCACCTGCACGGCAGCTGCACACCAGCGATGGCGCCTCGTGGGCTGGGGCACGGGGTGCCGGCCCACCGGGCTCCTGCACTCCCCCAATCCCCTCCTGATGATCGCTCACTTACATACTGATGGGAAGAATGTTTTCCAGCAACCCCAGAAGCAAGTTAAAACTTCAACGTTGTCTTCTGTTTAGTGAAGAGGCAGACCGATGGCAGACCGACTCTCTAGGGCAGCAAGGAGGAGAGAACAGCGGCCATACGCCACAGAGACTGTCACGCGTTTCACGTGGAATGCATACGGACTTGGAAAGGTACTGAAAAACACGTGATGTTTAGCATGGAAAATCTTATTTGTGCCCCTACTGTCAGAGGACAAGAATCTCAAACTCCCAGTGACTGTGTCAAATCTACATGTGTAGACCCAAGATAGGATCACACATAACCGCTAAATTCCTAAGGTACTGATCCTTTATGCTGCTGCCCAGAATATTTCATTCTTGGGTAATTCAAGATTTTAAAATACACACTGTAATACAACTGAGCATGTCTGTTTACACTTGGCTATAAGCTGCTAGATCTTCTTTAGCTGGGCATCACAGCTAACTTCTGGTCTAACACTGTACGGAGGGGACCCTGTTTTTACACATTTTTCGATGTGATGGATTGTAGCTCACTGTGAATTTCCATGTTCCTTCAGTACCTTTGTGCGGTTTCTTCCCCTCGGGAAGGGCTGGGGTGGGAGGGGTTGCCACAGGCCCGGCTGCCTGCAGTCTCAGGCCTTTTCCCCCAGGTGAACTCTTTGATGGACACTGAGGCGGGATTTCCTGCTGAAGGCCTTCCCACATTCGGAACACTCATATGGTTTCTCTCCTGTATGGATTCGCAAATGTAATCTCAGAGTTGACCTCTGGCTGAAGGTTTTGCCACATTCAGTACATTCATAGGGTTTCTCTCCCGTATGAGTTCTCATGTGTATAATGAGTTGAGAGTTCTGGATAAAGGACTTCCCACATTCACTGCACTCATAGCGCTTCTCCCCGGTGTGAATTTTCTGATGTATAATGAGGTTGGATTTCTTGAAGAAGGTTTTTGCACATTCATTACACTCATAGGGTCGTTCTCCCGTATGAATTCTCTGGTGTGTAGTAAGTTCAAATTTCTGGGCAAATGTCTTGCCACAATCACTGCATTCGTAAGGCTTCTTCTCCATATGTGCTCTCTGGTGGACAATGAGGTTTGACTGGTGGGTGAAGGCTTTTCCACATTCAATACATTCAAAGGGTTTCTCCCCTGTGTGAATTCTTTGATGTTTAATGAGGTTTGCCTTATGGGAGAAGGTTTTCTTACATACATTACATTCGTAAGGTTTTTCTCCAGTGTGTATTCTCTTGTGACTGATGAGGAGTGACTTAAAGGAGAAAGCCTTGTCACAGTAATTACAAATAAAAGGTTGTACCAAATTTCTTATTTTCTGATGTTTAAAAATGCCTTCTTTAAAGACTTTTCCACTTTTGTTATATTCGGAGTACTCTAACCCATTATGGGTTTTCTCTTGCTTCAGATAGAGGAGTGCTTTCCCAAATCCATTACACTCATCAGGTCTCTTTCTTATGTAGCTTCGATTACTATTAAGTAAGTCTGAATTCGATTTCAAAGTTTTTTCATATAAGTCGTATTTATAGGGTACTTGCCTTAAAGAAACAAAATCTGTGCTCAGATTAAATGTTTTTCCGAAGAGATTACCTCTTTCCTCCATTGGGGTTTGGTTCTTAAAAATGATAAACGGCCTCGCCGGCTCATCTGGGCTGCTGCGGTCCCGCTCCATCTGGTCGTCGGCCTTCCACACCTCTAGGAAAGAGCACATGAAGTACCACGTTAGAGAATGGAAGTGTGAGGCTGCCTCTTGAGTGTGGGATCCAGTCTTCCGGTATTAGAATCTCCAATGCAAATTTTACCTACTTCTTAAGCTTTGAAAGACAAAAGCCCTTGGCAAAAAAAAAAAAAAAAAAAAAAGTAGAAATTGACAATGGATGTAAGTAGCCTTGACAGATTACAAAATGGCCCTAAAAGGTGAAATAAAAAACAAAGAGCACCGAACAGGGCACAAATGATGTGGGAAGGCTGGCAAGTCTGGGGACAAAGGAGATTAAGAATTGTCCTCAAGGGGGGCGCCTGGGTGGCTCAGTGGGTTGAGCCTCTGCCTTCAGCTCGGGTCATGGTCTCAGGGTCCTGGGATCGAGCCCCACATCGGGCTCTCTGCTCGGCGGGGAGCCTGCTTCCCTTCCTCTCTCTCTGCCTGCCTCTCTGCCTACTTGTGATCTCTGTCTGTCCAATAACTAAATAAAATCTTAAAAAAAAATTGTCCTCAAGGACACCGAACAGTTAGCACAGATGAAGATGTTAAGGGAAAAAAGGCCAAACTGATCTGAGTTTAGCTCCCCTTAGGCTCTGAATTGACTGTGGGCTGCTCATCTCTGCCACATAACTTCCTAGAGCCAACACTTCTCACAGGTCTGCAGAGCTGATAGTGCTGCAAAGATCCACATCTCTTTACTTTTGCAAGTGGATGACCAGATCCAGAACTCCTATTTTGTAGGAAATAAAATTAATCCAAGAGTCCCATATCCTTGAGACAATCATTTTTATGCTACTATGTTTAATTTCTTCTCTAAACCCATCTTGTCCCTGCTTTAATTTAAAAAAAAATCTTAAGGATCAGATTTATTCCCTTGACCTAGACCTGAAATAACCTTTATTTTCATCTGTGTGTTCCTGATTATTCCTGACTCTTGTGATCCTGCTGCCATTTGTGTCTAGGACAAAGATATCACCCTTATGCTAAAAAAAAAAAAAAAATTCCTTACGGCTATTACACCAATTCCAAGACCTAAAATGTCAGAGTCACCATTCTGGCAAACTGAGAATACTAAACACAAAGGTTTAGGGCAGGTTAGGCAAATGCTAAGAGTGAGGGAAAAATACAAAAGTTTTGCAGGTACAACTGGTACTGGTACAACTGGTAGTTGGAGGTATGATTCTGAGATCTGAGCAATATAGGTCATCTAGTCTTGGCCATCCCTAAAGGTTTGGGAACCTGGAAAACTGATTCTTAAAAAATGTTTTAAAGTATTTCAACCCATTCATAATTCCTAAGATATTACTTCCACTGGCTTCTGATTCTCCTTCCCTCTTTTGCCATCTTCCTTAGAAATTTGTGAACTGGCAGTTGTTAATATGCTATCCATTCTTCTCTTCCTGTAGCCTGAAAATCACATCTGATTTGATATCGGGTAACTACTAATGGAACATAGCCCGGACCTCAGAGATCTCCAAAATAAAGAAGGCACAGCTTAAGAGTCTGCTCTCTCACGGCTAAACAACTGGAGCCCAAGGCCAAAACCACTCAGAAATTCAGAAACTCAAGAGTTTTTGGTAATGGACACTGAGCTGCACCAGAAAGAGGCCCTTACCCACTGACAGTAAGTTGCTGTAATTCTCCAGCATCACATCCATGTACAGGATCCTTTGGGAGGGGTCCAGCTGCTCCCATTCCTCCTGAGTGAAGTCCACAGTCACATCCGTGAATGAAACAGATCCCTGAAATGGCATATTGCTATTCATTCTGCAATGATCAACATTTGGTAATGTAGAAAGGATATGTGAAAACTTATTCTCACCTTGTTATAAAACAGTCATTCACCATGAAAATTTATATAGAACACCAACTATATATCTTCATGGTTTTGTCATATTTCCAAAAAATATTTTTATAATAGAGCATTTATTTAGATTCCCTTATACCTCCGGCACTATCACATTTGACAGGCATCTAAGATTAAGAAAACACTGTTCTCTGAAAATGTGTATAGGGAGATAAACGCATAAATATGCAGTATTTAGTGTTACCAGTGCAGAGATGATGCTCATATAGGTACTTCTGTGGTATCAAACCAGATAGTATTAAAGAATTAATTAAAGCAAAATGTCAGGCATAACCTACAAATGGGATCAAATACTTGCAAATCATCTGATAAGGGGTTAATATCCAAATATACAAAGAATTTCTTGAGGATGTGGAGAAAAGGGAACCCCAGTGCACTGTTCGTGGTAACGCAAACTGGTACGGCCACTAAGAAACCCAGTGGGAAGCTACCTCCAGAAGCAGAACCACCTCCTGATCCAGCACTTCCACCTGTGGGTATTTATCCAGAGAAAACAAAAACACTAACTTGAAAAGCTACATGCAGGGCACCTGGGTGTCTGCCTCTGGCTCATGCCATGATCTCAGGATACTAGGATAGAGTCCAGCATTGGGCCCCCTGCTCCGCAGGAAGTCTGTTTCTCCCTCTGCCCAACCCCCCGCCACTCGTGCATGTACTCTCTCCCCCAAAAATAAATCTTAAAAGGAAAAAAAGATACATGCGCTCCCACGTTCACTGCCACCTTATTTACAACAGCCAAGATATAAAAACAACCTCCATGTCCAAGGCGTGCCGAATGGAAAAGGAAATGGGGCACATACGTACAATGGACTGTTATTACTCAGACATATGAGAAAATCTGGTCACTTGTGACAACATGGATGGATTCTGAGAATATCATGCTAAGCAAAATAAGTCACAAAAAGACATACTGTATCCTCTCACCTGTATGTAGAATCTAAAACATCCCGAAACAACCAAGCTCACTGATACAGAGAACAGTCTGGGTGCCAGAGTGGAGGGTGGGAACTGGGCAAAATGGGGGAAGGGAGGTCAAAAGGTACAAACTTTCAATTATTAGACAAGACGTGCAGATGGAATGCGCAGCACGGTGACGAGAGTTAGCAATACTGCACTGCATATTTGAAAACTGTTGAGTTCTCCTCACAAGAAAAAAATTGCAACATGTATTGGTGATGTATGTTTACCAGACTCACTGAGGTGATCATTTAGCAATATATACCAATATCAAATCGTTACACTGTACCCATGAAACAGTCCTATGTCATTATACCTCAATAAAAATTTTTTTTTAAAATGTTCACAGTCCCATTTTACATTAAGAGCCCAAGGACAGGGCGCCTGGGTGGCTCAGTGGGTTAAGCCGCTGCCTTCGGCTCAGGTCATGATCTCAGGGTCCTGGGATCGAGTCCCACGTCGGGCTCTCTGCTCAGCAAGAAGCCTGCTTCCTCCTCTCTCTCTCTCTCTGCCTGCCTCTCCGTCTACTTGTGATCTCTCTCTGTCAGATAAATAAATAAAATCTTTAAAAAAAAAAAAAAAAAAAAAAAAAGAGCCCAAGGACAAACGTTCATCAACAGTAGACTGATTTTCTGTGTCTATTAGAATGGAGTCCTATAAAGCAGTGAAAATGAACTAATTCCAGCTACACAGGGAAGAATTCATAAGAGCTTCAAGAATCCTGGGTAATTTCTATTTCTTGGCCTGAATGGTGGCTATCTGGATTTTATTAACCTACATCCACTTGGCCAAGTGACAGGTACAATAAGAACTTTTGCATGGCTGCTGGACCAACAAGGGGGATGAGCCTCTGGCACATTACATTGACTCAAGTTACAGTAATTTATTTTGTAAACAAGGTTTTTTCTTTTCAAGATTTTATTTAAGAGCGAGAGAGTGCATGCATGCATGAGATGAAAAGAGCACAAGCAGGCAGAGAGGCAGAGGCAGAGGAAGCAGCAGAACCCCGCAGAGCAAGGAGCCCAATGCAGAACTCAATCCCAGGACCCGGGCATCATGACCCAAAGGCAGATGCCTAACCATCTGAGCCACTCAGGTGCCCCAAAGTAACTATAATTTAGAAATGACTCCAACATCAAATGTGAAAATACTTTTTTTTTTCTCACAGTGCCATTTTCTATACTTATACAAACAACTCAAAAAACTGTTCATAAGGGGCGCCTGGGTGGCTCAGTGGGTTAAGCCTCCGCCTTCAGCTCAGGTCATGATCCCAGGGTCCTGGGATCGAGGCCTGCATCGGGCTCTCTGCTCAGCGGGGAGCCTGCATCCTCCTCTCTCTCTGCCTGCCTCTCTGCCTACTTGTGATCTCTCTGTCAAATAAATAAATAAAATCTTAAAAAAAAAAAAAAAAAAAAAAAAAAACTTCGTAAAACACAATTCGGATACCACAGCATTAAAAGGGACATCAAGCATGACTGACTGCAAAGACTTGCCAAGACAGTATAGTTTCCATCTGGAATGAATTTGGAGTTCTGGGGAGAAAGCCGATGGCCATGAGTAGAGGTGTGCCTAGCATACTTGACATCCAGAGCCAACCATGTTTTAATACCCCTTCTTCAACTCTTCAAACTGTTAGATCTTCCTTGACTTATGATGTGGGGTTACATCCTGATAAACCCACCATAATGTGAAAACACCGTAAGCTGAAAATGCATTTAGTACACCTAACCCACTGAACAATGGAGCTTAGCCTACTGTAAACATGCTCAGAACACTAATGTTAGCAGACATGTACGCAAAATCATCTAATTCAAAGCCTATTTTATAATAAAGCACTGAATATCTCATGCAATTTATTGAATTCTGTACTGAAAATGATAAACAGAATGATTGTTTGGGGTGCAGAATGGTTTTAAGTATACTGGTTGTTTACCTTCTTGACCGTGTAGCTTACAGGGAGCTGTGGCTCGCTGCCGCTGCCCAGCATCACAAGTACATGCTACCACGTACCCTTAAGCCAAGAAAAGTTCAAAATTCCAAGTACAGTTTCTACCGAATGCGTACTGCGTTCACAACATCGTAAGGTAAAAAAATCATGAACAATTTCATTCTGGGGACTGTCTGTACATCTAAACTGTCACCTCCCAATTTACTTTTGAGTACAAGAATCTTCTTTAACCTATGCGCATTCTATTCTGAATCTTTCATCTTCAGTGATGACCTTTGATTCCTTCGGCCTCTGTGATTCTTCCTACCTGTCAGTGCCCCTCTTAGATTCCATACCTCCAAAATCTAGATTACACTTGTCCCCATCTTTATCTTTAAAAGCCTTGCCCTACTGACTTCTCACCATCTCTCACTGATAACTCCTAGCCTTGGGAAAAGTTGTAAGAAAAGAATGACATGAAGGTCTGAGTACTACAAATGACTGAGTTATACTGCACAAATTTACAGGTAGCCTCAGCAGCATTACTTCACGACACCTTCTAGGATTCTTTAGCCACTTGGCATAGGAGCAGAGAATGTAGGCGGTGGGTCAATTCCTGAGATCAAGGCCACGGAGGGTCAACAATCATAGTGTCAACATTTTCTCAGTAGAAAAAATTTATTCCTTTATCGTATCACTTCTGAAATTACAGTTCAAATAACAGAATCACTAGGAAATTTCAAAGGGACTAGGGACACAAAACACAAGATCAGTCTTCATCCGGATAGGCAAGCTAGAGAACCCCTCAAGTTCTTCCTTTGCCTACTGTTTACACTGCCACCCCAATTATTACAAAAGCCTCTTATTTTCTGTCTCCCCTTATTCTCATTTACCCCACATTCTACAGCTAACATCATTTTCCTAAAGAATAGTTCTAGTACACGATTACCTTGGGTAGACACAATCATTCCTTACCCACTGAAAACTAATAAACAATGACTAGTTCGTATTCAACATCATTCAAATTTCTTTTCCATCCCTCTTTCCCATGGCTCTCCTCTCTATGCAAAGATCCTTCCGGTAAGATCACATCCTAGATCACTTAGATGTGATCCTTCCATACTGTGAGTCCCTGGTTGGTTTTAAATCCTGGGTATTTTGTTTCTATCTCTTGTGGCAATTTTGCCTTGCTTTCTTTTGTTAAGTGTGTTTTATTCCTTCCATTATCCCTACTAGATGCCAAAATTTTTTAGACCAGAAATTGTACCTTGCTCATCTTTATATTCCTGTTAGCACAAAGTACATAAGTATATGTCAGGCACAAACAAACAAAATAATGCCGAGTTGAATGGAGTATTCAACTTTGGTTTTCATTATCATCTTCTTCCTGAAGAGACATGCCACATAATTCCTACAGCAATATCCTAAGTAGCAAGCCAAAATAATAGAGCATCTCAGTTGTTCATACTCAGATTATGTAAAGATTTTGGTAATACACGGGGAACCCTAATATCTGGCTCTTTTTCCTGAGATGTCATGCTCCAGTATGCTTGTCTCTTCATTAAAAGTGTTTTATTCAGTTTGTAATCTACATGATTCCTAGGTCGATTCTGGCTGTATTTGTACTTGGCAATATATTTGATCTAGGTATCAGTTTTACTAGTGGTTCATCAGCTTTTCGGCATCCAGGATATGATCACTACATTCATGGAGTAAGTGTAAGTGAAATCATCACATTTTCAGCATAATGTAAGTAGAGACATACAATATGACTCATCATCACCCAGGCATAAGTCATGGGCCACATAACCTCTCACAAAAGAAAGGAACAGCACAGAGTAAAATTGAACAGGAAAAAAAGAGCGTTAGAAAAGATGCTTTAAAAGTATGTAACTGGATTTAACAGCAGGTTAGACATTTCTAAAAAATGATGAGAAAACTGGATAGGTCAGTAAGGAATCTAGACCGAAATGGAGGAAGAATAAAGGGTGGGCAACACATCGAAAAGACTAAAAG